GAGCCTACACCGCAGAGCAACGACGTCGACGTGGAGGCAGGTGAGCCCGCGACCTCTCGAGGTCCGGATAAAGGTAAAAAAAATATAAATCAGAGTTATTTGTTTATCATTTTGACAAAGAAACAAAAGATGGCGTAGTTTATGGAACTTGTAAACATTGTGGGACCGTCATAAAAATGGGAGTCTCCGGCGGTTATGGCAGTCCGGAAAAACACCTAAGGTCGAGGCATCTCGTGGAGTTTGCCAAATACGAGGCAAAAAAGAAGGGACGACAAGAAGTGCAAACCCAAATTTCTCGGTTTGCTAACAGAGGTAAGGGCGGCCTTTTTGCTTATAGCGACGAGCAAAATAAGCAAAAAATGGCCGAAATGATTTGTGAAGAAAATTTGCCATACATGTTTTTTGAAAAACTTGGATTTATTGATTATTGTCAACAGGCATTAAACCCTCAAGCACGAGGTTTTTCAAGAAAAACAATTAAACGAGAAATTATTCGTCAGTATAAAACTGGAAAAATAAATTTGGCAAATTTTTTTTTCTCAATTTTAATTCTCGTGTTACTATTTGTTCTGATATTTGGAGTGAAACTTATCATAATTTGTCTTATATGGGTGTTACTTGTCATTGGATAGATAGTGATTAGATTATGCATAAACGTGTTCTTGCATTTCGTGATTTCAATGAACGGCATAATGCTGAAAATATTTTCCTATTGCTTCAGAGTATTCTGCGGGAATACAACTTATCTCACAAAGTGTTTTCATTTGGTTTTGATAATGCTACTAATAATACTGCAGCTATTCCTAGACTTAGAGAAATTTGCCCACCATCTACGTCTATGGGTAGATTTCTGCATCAACGGTGTGCCTGTCATGTTTTAAATTTATGTGTTCAACAGGGACTAGAAGTTATGGGCGGAGTTTTGACGAATATTAACGAAGGAATTAAAAAAATTTGGGGGGCTCGTCTTGTTTCGAGGTCCTGGAAGATGTTCTGTAAGTCTAAGGGTAGAAAAGAAATAGTTTTTGTCAAAGATATCCACATTAGATGGAATAGTACATACAAATTGATTCACCAGATTCTAAAATATAAAGAGGAACTTGCTGAATTTTTTAGGGATGAACTTCGTATAATCATTGATCCTTTTGAATTTGTTATTGTTGAAAAATTGAATGCCGTATTAGAAGTTTTTAATAACGCAACTCTTACTTTTTCTCATGTTTACCAACAAACTACAAATACATTTTTAAAAAAGTGTGTTACAATCACAACATGTTTTCGTGAAAGTAAGGCTGATCCAGATTTGTACCCATATGTCTCTCCTATGATACAAAAATGGTGTGCTTATTATTTGTACATTCCTGATATTTATAAAATAGGTATTATGTGTGATCCACGCTTTAAGATTGAAAATTATAAAATTTTAATTGAGTATTACTACAGTTGTTTTTTAGATGAAAATAGTTATTACTATAGTTATTTAGTAGAATGGAAAAAAGAAAGAGATAATGCTGTAACTTTTTTTGAGAATTTGTTTGAGGAATATCAGGGGTTATACGGCACTGTACAAGAAGAAGCAGCACCACCTCCGCCTACGAAATCAAAAAAAGGTTTTGCCGGAATAGTCGGTGGTTTTCTTGCAAAGAAAGGGAAGCGTGCTCATTCTTCGACGAGTTCAAGTGGTACAACAGTAAGCTCGCACAACGAACTTGCTATGTACCAGGGTGTGCCATGCGATTACGACGACGACGACGTGGATTTTGATGTGCTCGGATGGTGGAAGCGGAACGAACACATGTTCCCATGTCTCGGCATGCTAGCAAGACAAGTGTTATC